TATGAATATAGGGGTGCATATATCCTTTCTGATTGGTGCTCCTAATTTCTTGAGATATATTCCTAATAGTGAGATTACTGGGTCAAATGGGAGTTCATTTTTAATTTTTGAGGAAACTCCCAAACTGTTTTCCACAGTGGCTGCACCAGTCTGCATTCCCACCAGCAGTGCATGAGGGTTCCTTTTTCTCCACATCCTTGCCAGCATTTATCATTTGTTGACCTCATTGCTGGGGTCCAGCCCCAGCAGGTCCAGGGGTCCCAAAGGTGTGGACAGAGACAGCGTTCAGTTGATCAGCAGCCTAGCCAGGATCTCTAGCCAGGATCTCCAGCCAAGTTCTGTCTTTTATTGTCTTGTTACATCTGTATTTATACAAGCTGATTTTAATCCTGTCAATTTCTATTCCAAAGGTTAGGGCGTTTCTTATCTCCATTCCAGGGAGTAAAGATTATGTAGCTTAAGGGTGATTGTTTGTAGTTAAAGTGATTAACTACCCGCCTGGCATTTAGTTAAGGGGTTTTATTCCTTCCCTAACTTCAGGGGAAAATCCCTACCTTGGGAAACAACCTTTCTCGGAGAGGTGACCTTGGTTAAAACACATAGCGCCAAAAGGGGAGCAAACATATTAAGAACAGTATGCCATATATGCCAGGTCCCTTGAAACATATGCTGTGCAGATGTTTCTTCCCTGCAGCGACTGTGTCAAGCAGCAAGAATGGACCGGCTTCCGGCACCTCATAATGTCTTTATCTCTAAAAAGAGGCTGGTTAGAAAGTCAATCTTTCCCCCCTGCTCAAGTTATTCCAGAAGAGGTTTTCTAAGTGGTTCCACTTGGCCTGTAAACTATATTTAGGAGGAGGGAATGCAGGTGGAGGGCCATAAGCAAGACACTCAGAGATTGAAAGGATAGTAATAGCTAACATATTGAGTGCTAATTGAGGGTAATTTGAGGGCATCCAGACTAATTCTACACATCTCAGTTTATAATGACTAATGGAATAGATGAAGTAAATAAGTACCAACCGAATGAACCATAGGCATTCTTAGAGGTCTGTTTCTAGCAATAGCAGATGCTCTACAGCTTTAAGGTAGGTTCCAAAGTTATTCTGGGCTATTCTAAATGTGTGGTAAGACTGTATCCCCTGCCATCATCTCCCCATCACACAACCCACGTACAAAACCATTAATCAAAAACTCTTAAAATACCATCGACTGTGACAGGGCACTGGACTAAAATGGGAAATGAACAGACTTTAGAGTCCGTCTTAAATTTGACTCTCACTTCTACAGTTCCTATAACAGTTAGGTCAGTAACTTCTAGTCTGAGTCTCAGTCTCCTCTTTTTTTTTTCTTTTTTTTCAGATATATTTTTACTAGAGGCCCGGTGCACGAAATTCTGGCACTGGGGTGGGGGACGGGTCCCTCAGCCCCAGATTTGTGAGAAAGGCACAGGCCAGGCCAGGAAGGGATAAGGAGAGAGAGAGAGATCAATGATGAGAGAACCACTGGTCAGCTGCCTCCTGTACTGCCGCCCCCCCTCCCCCCCACCCCCGAACAAGCAGAAGAATAGAAGAAGCTTCATTAAGACACGAGGAGATTCGGACCCCATTCTGTCACCCACAAAAAAAGATAATGCCACCAGGGAAATCTGGATGTTCTGGGCATAAGCATTTCGTTGGCATAGTAGACGAAGAGAGAAAAAAAAGCCTATATGCTTATGTGGCAGATCAGGGTGTGACAAGTACTTAGAAGTATGATGAGTACTACCTCCAGTGGAGCTATGATCTTTGCAAGCATATGCCGCATTACTTCGGCGAGAACGAAAGTCTCTAAACTTAGGAACC